AGACAGGTTTTTATGCATAGTTAATAGATTACATTATTAGGTTACTTTGACCATTGCCCACTATAGATCAACATTATCTATAAAGGTGAGAATCAAGATATTTCATGATATAGTTAATGCGTTTGGGGATGTTTCGAAAAAAAAGGAAAAAATAAATAAAACATAAGTGCTGTTGTGGCTGCTGTGTGTCACATGACGAGCCCCCTCAAAAATAATGAGTGCATGATGCCCCTGAGTACACAGATAGTTTGAACATGTTTTTCAATCCCACGCATTTGTGACTTGGTCAAACTCATTCTTAACACTTCTATTCATCAGTGACTTAGTAAATGATGCAGGGAAAGGAATATGGGATATTAATTTGACTTTTTAATCTTTGAAACGTTCCCAAACTTGGAAAGTTGAGCTGTTCTTCTTACTCTTATTCGGTAAAAATCCCACAAGTGCAGGAGGATAACTGCTGCCATTGCAGCAGATATGGACACCCTTATCAGCACCATGTTTCGGACAGTGCTGCTGATACGGGTTTCCTGTGGTTGTGATGTTAGGAAGCAGGCTCTCTGGGGTTTCCCATGGTGAATCAGACCTTTTGCAAATTCTAACCTCAGTCCATTGGATGATAGCACTTTCACCCCTTTATACATTCTCTTCACTATTCATTTGCTGGTGTCCAGTACATCACAGCGGTATGTCCCAGAATCCTCTTCTCTGAGAGGGTCTAGCAGCACCTTGTCCAGGCTCAGGGCTTCATAGCGGCTGAATCACGAGTCATTAGATGTGATGATTCCACGGGCAAAGCGCCAGGACACCACAAAGGCAAAGCGGCCCATGGCTTCCATCACTTCCGGCAGTCAAGCACCAAACGCTGACCAGCAGTTGCTGTTTGGGTCTTCAGGCCACACTGCCAGGTGTCTAAGCAGTGGACAGTCCTCATCTTGCAGGACGTGCTGGAGATGTTTCTGTTTCCCCCAATAGGACAGAGCTCTTGAGTACAGAGGCCAAGCCTACAGGTGGCACTGCAGGGAAAGCTGTGGGTGATGACCCAGGTGCTGATCTTCTCCAGTTCTTGCAGTTCGGCTTTAGTTAAAGGGGTCCTATTATGCTTTTTCACTTTTTCAACTTTAGTTAGTCTGTAATGTTGCTGTTTGAGGATAACAAAGATCTGCAAAGTTACAAAGCTCAAAGTCCACTTCAAAAGGAGATATTTTATTTAACAGAAATCACTTTTCAAAAACTACAACGAACGACTCGTTTGGACTACAAC